ACCCTCGACGACGTGGAACAGGGGCCCTCGACGACGTGGAACAGGGGCCCTCGACGACGTGGAACAGGGGCCCTCGACGACGTGGAACAGGACCCTCGACGACGTGGAACAGGGCTTCCTGTCGGAATCCCCCAAATATTCCCCAACACGCAGCCACAGTAGTCAAGCAGGAAGCAGCCGACACCTTCAAACCAAAACATCTTCGAGCAATGAGGTCGTGTAACTAACACACACACGCACACACACACACACACACACACACACACACACACACACACACACACACACACACACACACACACACACACACACACACACACGCACACACAGGCATTTTGGCCATCATCCGAGAACAGTATCCACCTCAGACTCGAATCTTTACATTCTCATTCAATCCCTCTCTCGCGGGGAAGGACTGGAATTGAGTCTAGTGGAAGAGTTCCGCTTCCTTCCCCCTGATTCAGCGCTCCTTGATTGTCCGGTAAGCTCTTAGGGCTTACATGCCGCGGCCACAGTGCGCGCTCAAGTGCCCTGCCAGCTTCCCCGACCATTTTTTCACTTAGTCTGATAAAATGCTTTTTGAAGGGCTCAAAAGCTCGTGTTTCTCATTTCAGCGGATAAAAGGTTAGCGGAGAGCTTTACAAGCGCCCGCGGGTTTTCTACTCGCTAATCAAATCGTTTGTAAATATAGTAAAAGGCGTGTGTTTGTTTGTTTGTTTGTTTGTTGGTGTGGCGGAGATGGTCTGCCTGTGAGCTGTCTATTGTTAGCTTCTTAGCTGTGGGAGGATTGTTTGGTTGATGCTGCTTTGGCCAAACTAAAATGACTACAATTTTTTGTTTAAATTTCCCAAGATTAGTGCATAAGGTTTCATATTACTATAAGAAAAAAATTGTTTGGAAATTTCGGTTTTTTATTTTTTTTAGCGAGGTGGTGGACAGAGCCAGAATGATCAATGGTAGTCAGTATGGGACCATAGCAAGCTCTTCCCGCCTGAATTCTGGCCACATCAATCCCACCATGTTGGGCACGTGCCCCACATGGATCACAGTGCAAATTTGGGTGAAGCTAGCCCAAAGCTTTTGGCCTCCAACTACGAACGCACATTCAGACATTCTAATACATATATATATATATATATGTTTCATTGAATATGACCGCATATTCTGTATTTATTATTTTCTGGTTTAGGGCTTCTATCCCTCTAACTATTTTCTTAGCATCAGGGCTTAATTGAAATAGGAGTTCTCCAAAACTCATTTTCGTACTTTTAAGTTGAAGAAAAGAAGTGATTTACTATAGAGTGTATTACACTTATTTATATAATTTGCACGACGTTTCGAACCTCCATGGTTCATTCTCAAGTGAACAGATCTTACAATACTAGTTGATTTTATACCCGCATTAGGTCAGGTGATAATACAATGAAGGTGAAAACATGGGGGGATACATAAGGGATAAACATAGGGGCTGCAGAAGGCTTATTGGCCCATACGAGGCATCTCCTATCTAAACACAAAGATTAATCCAGTGTAATTGGCCTGTTATGTTGGACATTGTCTTCTGTGTTGGCATCGATATGTTCTTGTCTTGTCCTTACTCTCATGGTGGGTAGAGTAAATAGTTCCGTGATTTGGGTGTTCATGGTAGGTCGCTCTATTCTTATGTGAATTGCCTCAAGAATTTGTAATCTTCTTGAATCTTGGGTTTTGTCTATTATGCAAGTATTCTTGTTCAACATTTCTCTTGTTAGAGTAATGTCATGGGCTTGTCTCATGTGATTCCTAGGGGCACCAGATTGAAGATGGCATGTCAAACGCCTCGTCAGCTTGGTCGACGTCATACCTATGTACTTACATTGAAGGTTACATCCTTCGTGGGGGCAAGTGTACATGTATACAACGCTTGACTGCTGTAGAGGGTTCTCCGTCGGCTTCGGGCTGTTTTTGATAAGGAGTTCGGAAGTCTTCTTGGTTTTGTAGAATATTATCAGGTTTATGTTTTGGTTAGGAGTAGTGCTTTTTACTCCTTTACGGATTATTTCTTTCATTATTCTTTCCTCTTTTATATGTTCACTGTGCATGGTTGATTTGTAATATAATTTTATTGGGGGTGTTGTGGTTTCTGTTCTAGGTTCTGAATTATACCAACGGTCCAAGTGTCTTCTTATAGCAGCGTTTATTTCCGCGTTGCTATATCCGTTGTTCACCAATACCTGAGTTACTCTTTCAAACTCTCTACTCACGTTGCTCCATTCAGAGCAGTGGGTAAGCGCTCGACGAATATAAGCATTGAGAACACTGGCTTTGTATCTTTGGGGGCACTCACTTCTACCGTTCAGGCATAATCCTATGTTGGTGGGCTTGGTATATACGTTGGTGCTTAAAGAGGTTCCTGTTTTTGTTATTAGTACATCCAAGAATGGCAGACTGTTATTTTCACTATTTTCATGTGTAAATCGGAGTACTGACTCTCTCTCTAGGTGTCTTTTTAGGTCAATTAGTTCATCTGAGTCTTTTACTATTACGAATATGTCATCTACATAACGGCAGTATACAGTTGGTTTTTGTCTGCTACTGAAGACCCTATCTTCGATGGTTCCCATATAAAAATTAGCAAATAAAACTCCTAAGGGGGAGCCCATTGCTACTCCGTCTATTTGTAAATACATGTCTCCTTGTGGACTGATGAAAGGGGCTTCCTTTGTACATGCTTCGAGAAGACTTTTCAAGTGTGGCTCAGGTATGTCTAATTTGGGGGTGCTCTCGTCTCTGTATACTCTGTCCAGTATCATTCCTATGGTTGTGTCGACTAGGAATGATACTGGACAGAGTATACAGAGACGAGAGCACCCCCAAATTAGACATACCTGAGCCACACTTGAAAAGTCTTCTCGAAGCATGTACAAAGGAAGCCCCTTTCATCAGTCCACAAGGAGACATGTATTTACAAATAGACGGAGTAGCAATGGGCTCCCCCTTAGGAGTTTTATTTGCTAATTTTTATATGGGAACCATCGAAGATAGGGTCTTCAGTAGCAGACAAAAACCAACTGTATACTGCCGTTATGTAGATGACATATTCGTAATAGTAAAAGACTCAGATGAACTAATTGACCTAAAAAGACACCTAGAGAGAGAGTCAGTACTCCGATTTACACATGAAAATAGTGAAAATAACAGTCTGCCATTCTTGGATGTACTAATAACAAAAACAGGAACCTCTTTAAGCACCAACGTATATACCAAGCCCACCAACATAGGATTATGCCTGAACGGTAGAAGTGAGTGCCCCCAAAGATACAAAGCCAGTGTTCTCAATGCTTATATTCGTCGAGCGCTTACCCACTGCTCTGAATGGAGCAACGTGAGTAGAGAGTTTGAAAGAGTAACTCAGGTATTGGTGAACAACGGATATAGCAACGCGGAAATAAACGCTGCTATAAGAAGACACTTGGACCGTTGGTATAATTCAGAACCTAGAACAGAAACCACAACACCCCCAATAAAATTATATTACAAATCAACCATGCACAGTGAACATATAAAAGAGGAAAGAATAATGAAAGAAATAATCCGTAAAGGAGTAAAAAGCACTACTCCTAACCAAAACATAAACCTGATAATATTCTACAAAACCAAGAAGACTTCCGAACTCCTTATCAAAAACAGCCCGAAGCCGACGGAGAACCCTCTACAGCAGTCAAGCGTTGTATACATGTACACTTGCCCCCACGAAGGATGTAACCTTCAATGTAAGTACATAGGTATGACGTCGACCAAGCTGACGAGGCGTTTGACATGCCATCTTCAATCTGGTGCCCCTAGGAATCACATGAGACAAGCCCATGACATTACTCTAACAAGAGAAATGTTGAACAAGAATACTTGCATAATAGACAAAACCCAAGATTCAAGAAGATTACAAATTCTTGAGGCAATTCACATAAGAATAGAGCGACCTACCATGAACACCCAAATCACGGAACTATTTACTCTACCCACCATGAGAGTAAGGACAAGACAAGAACATATCGATGCCAACACAGAAAACAATGTCCAACATAACAGGCCAATTACACTGGATTAATCTTTGTGTTTAGATAGGAGATGCCTCGTATGGGCCAATAAGCCTTCTGCAGCCCCTATGTTTATCCCTTATGTATCCCCCCATGTTTTCACCTTCATTGTATTATCACCTGACCTAATGCGGGTATAAAATCAACTAGTATTGTAAGATCTGTTCACTTGAGAATGAACCATGGAGGTTCGAAACGTCGTGCAAATTATATAAATAAGTGTAATACACTCTATAGTAAATCACTTCTTTTCTTCAACTTAAAAGTACGAAAATGAGTTTTGGAGAACTCCTATTTCAATTAAGCCCTGATGCTAAGAAAATAGTTAGAGGGATAGAAGCCCTAAACCAGAAAATAATAAATACAGAATATGCGGTCATATTCAATGAAACATGTTTGAAAGAAAACCTGCTGCCAGTATACACCAATATATATATATATATATATATATATATATATATATATATATATATATATATATATATATATATATATATATATAATGATTTAAAATACTCCTCAGCAATGACAGTCAGCTCTTCTTAATACACAAAGTTAATGCAATTAAGGATCACGAAACAATGCTCATTGGTATGAGGAAAATCAAGAGAAACAGGAAGGAAAGTGAACGTTTCAGCTGGTAAGAGCCATTGTCAACATTGGTTGACAATGTTGTCCTTGTGGTAAAACATTTTGTCCTAGTGGTAAAAACACTCATAAAATTGGTGTCGCCACAGTCATTTGCCAAGTTTGCGTTCGAGGCAGGACACTGTATAGTGTGTGTGTATAATGACATTGTATACTGTGTGTATTATGACACTGTATAGTATGTGTATTACTAACACTGGTGTGTTCTCTCTCCCCCTGTGCGTGTGTGTAGCTCCTGAGGTGCAGACAGCTTCCACCTGCAGTGTGCTGAGCGACATGTTCTCTCTGGGACTGACCATCTGCGCCATCTTCAACTCCGGCAAGTCTCTCATCGAAGCCAACCACTCTAGCTCCGTCTACCAGAAGCAGCTGGAGGTGGTGAGTATGGTAGGGGTGAGTAGTGGTTGGTGGGGGTGAGTAGTGGTGGTGGTGGTGGGGTTAAGAGACAGGGTGTTGAGCAGGCTATCTGCACGATAGTGGAGATCAACGTAAATGTACATTTACTTTTACAAAGTTACCCAGAGGCCAAAATTGACTTAAATATACATTTACAAAGCTACCCAGAGCCCGAAATTGACTTAAATATACATTTACAAAGCTACCCAGAGCCCGAAATTGACTTAAATATACATTTACAAAGCTACCCAGAGCCCGAAATTAACTTAAATGTACATTTACAAAGCTACCCAGAGCCCGAAATTGACTTAAATGTACATTTACAAAGCTACGCCAAGAGCCCAAAATTGACTTAAAATATTCACAGTATATATTCAACTTTTCCTTAAACGACGTTTCTGCTCAAATTCTCATTTCAAACAATGGGGAAGAAATACAGAAATAAGAACAAAATATCGCTATAATTATTGTGACAGTTTGGGGGGCTTAACAGCCCTATCAAACGTAGTTACGGGCTCACCATAGCCCGTGCTACTTGGAACTTGTTCCACGTAGCGAATCTTTAACAACAACAACAACCTATCAAACTACGGAGGGTCGTTAAGCTCCAACTACTGACCAACCAAGTATACATGTGTCTTGAAAATATGTATATTTGTTTGTATAAATATGTATGTATAAATATGTATGTATAAATATGTATATATATACCACAAAAAGGGGGAGGGGGGGGGGTGTTGTATCACCATCCCTTTAGGGTTATACTGACCTTGATCAGGTCAGAAAGGTCTTATTGACCAGACAGAAAGTATATTTTAGGCCTTAATATAAACCGGGACACTAAAGTGCTCATCTCAGTATATATATATATATATATATATATATATATATATATATATATATATATATATATATATATATATATATATATATATATATATATATATATATATATATGTCGTACCTAGTAGCCAGAACGCACTTGTCAGCCTACTATATATATATATATATATGTATATATATATATATATATATATATATATATATATATATATATATATATATATATATATATATATATATATATATATATATATATGCAGAATAACAACATGTGAAAAATAGAAAATGCTTAACGCGTTTTCGGCTAATTCGCCTTCATCAGAGCAAAGTAGAATGAAGATCAAAATGATCTTCATTCTACTTTGCTCTGATGAAGGCGAATTAGCCGAAAACGCGTTAAGCATTTTCTATTTTTCACATGTGGTTATTCTGCATACTTGGATCAGTGTTTTTATGATCATTGTTGCATATATATATATATGTGTATATAATATATATATATGTCGTACCTAGTAGCCAGAACGCACTTCTCAGCCTACTATGCATGGCCCAATTTGCCTAATAAGCCAAGTTTTCATGAATAAATGTTTTTTCGACTACCTAACCTACCTAACCTAACCTAACCTAACTTTTTCGGCTACTTAACCTAACCTAACCTATAAAGATAGGTTAGGTTAGGTTAGGTAGGGTTGGTTAGGTTCGGTCATATATCTACGTTAATTTTAACTCAAATAAAAAAAATTGACCTCATGCATAATGAAATGGGTAGCTTTATCATTTCATAAGAAAAAAATTAGAAAAAATATATTAATTCAGGAAAACTTGGCTTATTAGGCAAATCGGGCATTGCATAGTAGGCTGAGAAGTGCGTTCTGGCTACTAGGTACGACATATATATATATACTCCAGTGTATATACATTTGGAAGCAGCTATTTTTTTCTGGACAACTGTGTGTGTATTTACATTTTGTGCCTGCAGAATCAAGCTGTTAGCTCTTGGGCCCCGCCTTTCTAACCGCCGGTTGTCTAATGTACTGACTCCCGACCTATTTTTCCATATATGTACTACATATATTTCTCTCTCACACACACATACATCCCCCAGGATGCAGCCCGTAGCAGCTGTGTAACTCCCAGGGGCCTCTTTACTGCTAGGTGAACAGGAGCATCAGGTGAAAGACATTGTTCATTTGTTTCTGCGTCGTCCGGGAATCGAACCCGGGTCCTTAGGACTACGACACCCGAGCGCTGTTCATTCGGCTGTGAGTGTGTGTGTATTATTATTACCTAAGTGTAATTACCTAAGAGTAATTACCTAAGTGTAGTTACAGGATGAGAGCTACGCTCGTGGTGTCCCGTCTTCCCAGGTGTAAGTGTAGCAAGGTTACCTGGCGCTCGTGGTGTCCCGTCTTCCCAGGTGTAAGTGTAGCAAGGTTACCTGGCGCTCGTGGTGTCCCGTCTTCCCAGGTGTAAGTGTAGCAAGGTTACCTGGGTTACCTGGGTAATTAACTACCTATACTATTGTTACCTCGGCCAGAAATGCGATATTCATATCAAGCCGTTGAACCTTGAGATATAAATTCCTATTTGTTCTGATTCTCACACATTTAAATACTAAATCTTCACATTCAACTCCTAAACTCTGACAAGTCAAGCCTGGCCTCGGGCCGGGCTTAGGGAGTAGAAGAACGCCCAGAACCCCATCAACCAGGTATTGGATCAGATCATAAGGTCACTGGTGCTCTCTTCTCTACACTCTTGACTCTTTCCTGAGAGCTGGGGGAACAGGAGACCACCAGGGGCTCGTAAGGAACAGATAGTCCCCTACGACCCCGTGCTCCCTCCGTCTCAACCCCCGCCAGGGCTCTCTGTGTGTGCTCCAGGGGTCTGAGGCAAGAGGTCGACCCCGTGCTCCCTCCGCCTCAACCCCCGCCAGGGCTCTCTGTATGTGCTCAAGGGGTCTGAGGCAAGAGGTCGACCCCGTGCCCCCTCCGTCTCAACCCCCGCCAGGGCTCTCTGTGTGTGCTCAAGGGGTCTGAGGCAAGAGGTCGACCCCGTGGGAGATGTCAAAGAGATTGTCCAAATCCTGGACGAGCGCGGCTTCATTACCTCCGTGTGCCTGGGTCTTCCTTCAGCGGATCTTCCTCAGGCTCAGAAAACCTTTTTGTATAATTTCTGGACCTTGGTGATATCCAGCCTCAGGTTGTGCTGGTCCAAGGGGCGCCCCCGTGCCCAGGTACTCTACCCCGTGGTAGAGTACCTCTACTCTACCACGGGTACTCTACCCCGGGGAGAATAATATGTATGTAGGAGACATGTTAGAGGAATAGAAGTTAATCGGTTACAAAGGCGGAGTTCAAGAGCTAACACACACACACACACACACACACACACACACACACACACACACACACACACACACACACACACACACACACACACACACACACACACACACACACACACACACACACACACACACACACACACACACACCTGTCTAATTGCACCGTGAACTTCCACTGCCTTAATTACTCAATTACAGCTTGGCTTCCTCTCGGAAACCAATCTCAGCGCCTCCAAAATGATGCCAAAAATAATGAAGGCGTCCATCTTTCTTTATTTTGGAGGGGGGGGAGGGGAGGGAGGGAGAGATGAATGGTCAGGGGTGATGAGGGGAAATGGGAGGAGGAAAGGGGGGTAAGGGGGAGAGAAAGAGGAAAAGGGAGGGAAGGGAAGGGAGTATGGGAAGGGTGCCATACCGCTAGTGACTGAAGGGCTTTGGAGAACCCGGCCAGGTAAACTTATGTAGTTTACTCTTGACAATGTTGAACACCTGCTGTCCCTGGCAAGCTGGAGGGGGGAGAGAGAGAGAGAGAGAGAGAGAGAGAGAGAGAGAGAGAGAGAGAGAGAGAGAGAGAGAGAGAGAGAGAGAGAGAGAGAGAGAGAGAGAAAAAAAAAATAGCATCAATTCTCTATCTCTGTCATCATATTCTAACTAAAAGAATATCATAAACTGATTAGTCTTGACTAGGTTAGTCTTAGAAACATCTTAGTCTTGACTACACTAGTCTTAGAAACATCTTAGCCTTGACTAGCCTAGTCTTAGAAACATCTTAGCCTTGACTAGGCTAGTCTTAGAAACATCTTAGCCTTGACTAGGCTAGTCTTAGAAACATCTTAGCCTTGACTAGGCTAGTCTTAGAAACATCTCAGCCTTGACTAGGCTAGTCTTAGAAACATCTTAGCCTTGACTAGGGACAAGGAAATGCCTAAAAGGCTGCATTGTTCGGATTCAAATGTCCTAACCTTTAATAAAGGCATACAATGCCTGACAGAAATGCCTGGGTGGATTTTCCTTGTAAAGTCTGGAATTGGACGTGTTTGACCTTTGACCTAGCCGGGAGGTCATGGAAAGTCTCCAAGACTGAAGAAGATCAGAAGAAGAGAGTTCCCAAGACTGGAAGTTCCCAAGACTGGAAGTCCCCAAGACTGGGAGTTCCCAAGACTGGAAGTTCCCAAGACTGGAAGTTCCCCAAGACTGGGAGTTCCCAAGACTGGAAGTTCCCAAGACCTGAAGTTCCCAAGACTGGAAGTTCCCCAAGACTGGAAGTTCCCAAGACTGGGAGTTCCCAAGACTGGAAGTTCCCAAGACTGGGAGTTCCCAAGACTGGAAGTTCCCAAGACTGGGAGTTCCCAAGACTGGGAGTTCCCAAGACTGGAAGTTCCCAAGACTGGGAGTTCCCAAGACTGGAAGTTCCCAAGACTGGAAGTTCCCAAGACTGGGAGTTCCCAAGACTGGGAGTTCCCAAGACTGGGAGTTCCCAAGACTGGGAGTTCCCAAGACTGGAAGTTCCCAAGACTGGGAGTTCCCAAGACTGGAAGTTCCCAAGACTGGGAGTTCCCAAGACTGGGAGTTCCCAAGACTGGGAGTTCCCAAGACTGGAAGTTCCCAAGACTGGAAGTTCCCAAGACTGGAAGTTCCCCAAGACTGGGAGTTCCCAAGACTGGAAGTTCCCAAGACTGGAAGTTCCCAAGACTGGGAGTTCCCAAGACTGGAAGTTCCCAAGACTGGAAGTTCCCCAAGACTGGAAGTTCCCAAGACTGGAAGTTCCCAAGACTGGGAGTTCCCAAGACTGGGAGTTCCCAAGACTGGAAGTTCCCAAGACTGGGAGTTCCCAAGACTGGGAGTTCCCAAGACTGGAAGTTCCCAAGACTGGGAGTTCCCAAGACTGGGAGTTCCCAAGACTGGAAGACGTAGGAATTCTGGGCTCAAATGTCTGTCAAATTTACATAGTTAATTGCCCACTTTCCCTTCATCCTCTCAGCTCTCCTCAACCCCCTTCACTTTGTTGCATATTTCAGTCCCTTCCCGCTTTTATTCTCTATCTCCACCCCCTAGTCTCGCCCCCTCAACCATCTTCCTATCCCCCCTCCCTATTCTCTCATTCCTATTGTCACTCCTCGCTCTTATTCTTACATCCCTGTTCTTCGCACTCCACCTCTAATCTCCCATATTCTTACCCAAGAACCCTATCCTTGATATTCTCGGCTCTTATCCCTTTGTTCAGGTGTAGATCCATTGGGTTAGTTCCTGTGAACACAGACGAGGGAGATATTATAATGTTTAGTTGGAGATATTAGAGATGGATAGAGATAGTCGTGTAGCTACACTGTGAAGTAATTCCTTACGATACACAGAGGCAGTAATTCCTCTTGTTCCCCCTCTTCACCTGTCTCTTGTCCCCCGTTCACCTGCCTCTCACCTGTGTGGCGTGGCTGCGCTTCCCTGCACAGGTGCGTCTAGAGGTAATCTCCCCCAGAGGGTATTAACTCTCTGCCAATCCACTCTGTGGCATCAACTCTTCCTCCCCCTTCTCCCCTTCTCCCCGGCTCAATACTGCCCTGCCTGCCTCGACCCTGTCTTCTGCCTCCCCCTCTCACTCTGTCTCTGTCTCTCTCTCTCTCTCTCTCTCTCTCTCTCTCTCTCTCTCCCTCTCTCTCTCTCTCTCTCTCCTCTCTCTCTCTCTCTCTCTCTCTCTCCCTCTCTCTCTCTCTCCTCTCTCTCTCTCTCTCTCTCTCTCTCTCTCTCTCTCTCTCTCTCTCTCTCTCTCACTCTCTCCTACCTCCTCCTCCCCCACTCCCTAGTATCGGTATTTGAATTAATTCTTTCTTACAGCCCCCAATACCCTCTCCCCCTCTCCCCCTCCCACACAATACAGAGCTCAGGTTGGGTCGTCCCAACCGGTTGCTTTCCAGGGATATTAGACCGGGGCTGATCTCCCGGTCTGGGGGCCCCTCGCTGCCTCCTATTGCTTCGCAAAACCTGAATAATAATAGATATAACTTTTGGGGTCGGCGCTGCCGCTCGTAGCCGGGATTACTTACTCTCTTGTTACTTTACTTCCTCCTTACGGTCAAGCTGTTTCTCTCTCTCTCTCTCTCTCTCTCTCTCTCTCTCTCTCTCTCTCTCTCTCTCTCTCTCTCTCTCTCTCTCTCTCTCTCTCTCTCTCTCAGGGGCTGGTCTGCTATAGCCGGCTGTATGGTCGTGGGTGTGATCACTGTCGCCGGGGTTCGACACCCTGGGGTTTGACGCTAATGCGTTCACTGTTACACACAAAGTTGCCCCTTTGTAAGCTGCGCCTGGCATTTTCCCGCGTCTGGTCCGGGTGTCAACTTTCCTCATTAGTCGCCACTATTGGTCCGCCTGAGTTTACCCTTTTTTATACATTTGTGAGCACTCTGTAGACTCGTGCGCTCTACACCCCTGGGCTCTACACCCCTGGGCTCTACACCCCTGGGCTCTACACCCCCTGCCCTCTACACCCCTGTCCTCTACGCCACTGTCCTCTACACCACTGCCCTCTACGCCACTGTCCTCTACACCCCTGGGCTCTACACCCCTGCCCTCTACACCCCTGCCCTCTACACCCCTGTCCTCTACGCCACTGTCCTCTACACCACTGCCCTCTACGCCACTGTCCTCTACACCCCTGGGCTCTACACCCCTGCCCTCTACACCCCTGCCCTCTACACCCCTGGGCTCTACACCCCTGCCCTCTACACCCCTGCCCTCTACACCCCTGCCCTCTACACCCCTTCCCTCTACACCCCGGCCCTCTACACCCCTGGGCTCTACACCCCTGGGCTCTACACCCCTGCCCTCTACACCCCTTCCCTCTACACCCCGGCCCTCTACACCCCTGGGCTCTACACCCCTGCCCTCTACACCCCTGCCCTCTACACTGTCCTCTACACCCCGGCCCTCTACACCCCTGTCCTCTACACCCCTGCCCTCTACACCCCTGCCCTCTACACTGTCCTCTACACCCCTGCCCTCTACACCCCTGCCCTCTACACCCCTGCCCTCTACACCCCTGCCCTCTACACCCCTGCCCTCTACACCCCTGCCCTCTACACCCCTGCCCTCTACACCCCTGCCCTCTACACCCCTGGGCTCTACACCCCTGGGCTCTACACCCCTACCCTCTACACCCCTGGGCTCTACACCCCTACCCTCTACACCCCTGGGCTCTACACCCCTGCCCTCTACACCCCTGCCCTCTACACCCCTGGGCTCTACACCCCTACCCTCTACACCCCTGGGTTCTACACCCCTGCCCTCTACACCCCTGCCCTCTACACCCTGGGCTCTACACCCCTGCCCTCTACACCCCTGCCCTCTACACCCCTACCCTCTACACCCCTGGGCTCTACACCCCTGCCCTCTACACCCCTGCCCTCTACACCCCTGCCCTCTACACCCCTGGGCTCTACACCCCTACCCTCTACACCCCTGGGCTCTACACCCCTGCCCTCTACACTCCTGCCCTCTACACCCCTGGGCTCTACACCCCTACCCTCTACACCCCTGGGCTCTACACCCCTGCCCTCTACACCCCTGGGCTCTACACCCCTGGGCTCTACACCCCTACCCTCTACACCCCTGGGCTCTACACCCCTGCCCTCTACACCCCTGGGCTCTACACCCCTGTGCTCTACACCCCTGGGCTCTACACCCCTGCCCTCTACACCCCTGTCCTCTACACCCCTGCCCTCTACACCCCTGCCCTCTACACCCCTGCCCTCTACACCTCTTCCCTCTACACCCACTAGCTCACTCCAGCTGATGCCTTGTTGCCAAGTCTACATTAACTACATATTATATGTATAAACATGTGTGCTATTCATATGCTCGCTGCACGTGAGTAGGTAAACATAGGGTACATGTACACGGCCAAACAGATCCACCGCGGGTCAACGAGGCTGTTGGTGTTAGCGGACACACTCGTCCAACACCCACGGCTCCGGCCCACTGGTAATCCTGCCCATCAACACTGTCAGCCATGAATATCATGGTATTAAACACCTTGAAGCTCAAGTGATCACCCATGGTGACCTCTATGGTTCATGGTACTACCACAGGCTGGTGGATCATGGTACTACCACAGGCTGGTGGATCATGGTACTACCACAGGCTGGTGGATCATGGTACTACCACAGGCTGGTGGATCATGGTACTACCACAGGCTGGTGGATCATGGTACTACCACAGGCTGGTGGATCATGGTACCACAGGCTGGTGGATCATGGTACTACCACAGGCTGGTGGATCATGGTACTACCACAGGCTGGTGGATCATGGTACTACCACAGGCTGGTGGATCATGGTACTACCACAGGCTGGTGGTTCATGGTACTACCACAGGCTGGTGGATCATGGTACTACCACAGGCTGGTGGATCATGGTGCCACCACAGGCTGGTGGATCATGGTACTACCACAGGCTGGTGGATCATGGTACTACCACAGGCTGGTGGTTCATGGTACTACCACAGGCTGGTGGATCATGGTACTACCACAGGCTGGTGGATCATGGTACTACCACAGGCTGGTGGTTCATGGTACTACCACAGGCTGGTGGATCATGGTACTACCACAGGCTGGTGGATCATGGTACTACCACAGGCTGGTGGATCATGGTACTACCACAGGCTGGTGGATCATGGTACTACCACAGGCTGGTGGATCATGGTACCACAGGCTGGTGGATCATGGGACCACAGGCTGGTGGATTATATATATGATGAAGTGTAAGAAGAACTTTTATAAGTATATAAAATCATTATTAATTTTATTATATATATATATATATATATATATATATATATATATATATATATATATATATATATATATATTGCACTGAATGTTATCATATAATGTTAATTTTTGTCCTTAACAAATGTGGTGTTGATCATTAATGTAACCCCCCCCCCCTAGTGACAAGACTAGGCCCTGCACACCTGCTAGTGAGGCAGGTGTGCAGGGGAGTGAGGTGTGTGAAGACCAGGGGCCCCTACACACCTGCTAGTGAGGCAGGTGTGCAGGGGAGTGAGGTGTGTGAAGACCAGGGGCCCCTACACACCTGCTAGTGAGGCAGGTGTGCAGGGGAGTGAGGTGTGTGAAGACCAGGGGCCCCTACACACCTGCTAGTGAGGCAGGTGTGCAGGGGAGTGAGGTGTGTGAAGACCAGGGGCCCCTACACACCTGCTAGTGAGGCAGATGTGCAGGGGAGTGAGGTGTGTGAAGACCAGGGGCCCCTACACACCTGCTAGTGAGGCAGGTGTGCAGGGGAGTGAGGTGTGTGAAGGCCAGGGCCCCTACACACCTGCTAGTGAGGCAGGTGTGCAGGGGAGTGAGGTGTGTGAAGACCAGGGCCCCTACACACCTGCTAGTGAGGCAGGTGTGCAGGGGAGTGAGGTGTGTGAAGACCAGGGGCCCCTACACACCTGCTAGTGAGGCAGGTGTGCAGGGGAGTGAGGTGTGTGAAGACCAGGGCCCCTACACACCTGCTAGTGAGGCAGGTGTGCAGGGGAGTGAGGTGTGTGTGTGTGTGTCCCGCAGGTCGGGGAGCAAGTGAACAACGTACTGCCCAAGATCCCCCTGGGGCTGCAGGAGGCCGTGGTGAGACTGGTCAGCCGCGACCCGCGCCAGAGGCCCACTTCGCAGCTCGTCGCACTCATTAAGTACTTCAGGTGAGTGGCCACGGTGAGAGGGGGTGAGAGAGAGAGAGAGAGAGAGAGAGAGAGAGAGAGAGAGAGAGAGAGAGAGAGAGAGAGAGAGAGAGAGAGAGAGAGAGAGAGAGAGAGAGACGAGCGGAGAAACTGTTGAAAGCAGAGCATAATAGAAATAAAAAATATAGATATTTCTATATACTGATTAAATTAGAGGGATAAAAGTAGTGGATGATTTTGGAGAAACTGGGAGACAGGTAAAGAAAATGGGCGAGAGAAAGAAAATGGGGAGTTGAACTGAGACTGCTCTAATGAGAAGACTCTGAGAGACATACTACACGGTATATAAGGCCAGCTTGGCGGGATATTGTTGGGGGCTCACCATAGCCCGTGCTACTTGCCCCGCTCCTGTGCCAGGTAAGTTACGGGCTCACCATAGCCCGTGCTACTTGGAACTTGTCTCGAGTACCTGAATCTATAACAACAACAACAACAACAGGGAGAGTGTATGTACTGGCCTAATTGTTCTTAAGTGGGAAGTTGAGCTTGGTCTCTTTGGTCCCGCCTCTCACTCAACTGCCAGTCAACTGGGAGTACGGGTTCCTGAGCCTATTGGGCTCTTATCATATCTACATTTGAAACTTTGAGAAACTCATTTGATTGAGAAAAGCATTTGGGGCAATGAATGTGACTCGAACTCGCGGCTCTCTATTTCCTTTTTTTCATGTTGATTGTGTGTGTGTAAACTACATATCACGTGATGCCTGCGTCAGTAAAGGTCGGGGTCTACAATAGTCAGGTGGAGGTTTACAGTGTTAGATCAGTCAGTCAGGTGGAGGTTTACAGTGTTAGATCAGTCAGTCAGGTGGAGGTTTACAGTGTTAGATCAGTCAGTCAGGTGGAGGTTTACAGTGTTAGATCAGTCAGTCAGGTGGAGGTTTACAGTGTTAGATCAGTCAGTCAGGTGGAGGTTTACAGTGTTAGATCAGTCAGTCAGGTGGAGGTTTACAGTGTTAGATCAGTCAGTCAGGTGGAGGTTTACAGTGTTAATGCAGCTTCTGAGTAGATATTAATAATGATTTACTATTTTGATCTACTTTTGATTTTAATTGGCCAACTTTAATTTATATTTTGCAAACTTGAGAGGACAGGAAGGTCCTGGAACAACCAATGAGAGCACAAGAAGATCCTGGAACAACAAATGAGAGGACTGGAAGACCCTGGAACAACCAATGAGAGGACAGGAAGGTCCTGGAACAACCAATGAGAGGACTGGAAGACCCTGGAACAACCAATGAGAGGACAAGAAGGTCCTGGAACAACCAATGAGAGGACAAGAAGGTCCTGGAACAACCAATGAGAGGACTGGAAGACCCTGGAACAACCAATGAGAGGACAGGAAGGTCCTGGAACAACCAATGAGAGGACTGGAAGACCCTGGAACAACCAATGAGAGGACAGGAAGGTCCTGGAACAACCAATGAGAGGACTGGAAGACCCTAGAACAACCAATGAGAGGACAGGAAGACCCTGGAACAACCAATGAGAGAACAAGAAGGTCCTGGAACAACCAATGAGAGGACAAGAAGGTCCTGGAACAACCATGGTGCCAGATTAACAACACACACACCCTCGGGTACTGTGGAACAAGCTGCAGAAGAATGACGAAGAGGAAGCAGAGAAACAAAGCAAGAAAATAGGAGTGAAAATAAGAAGGAGAGTTTGGAGGAAGAATGACAGATTATGTCAACTGGTGAGTGCTATTGACAACCGCTCAGCCTCGTCCTGGAAATGGAAAATATGATTCGAGTTCGAATTTCTAGTATAATCGGAGACATTTGTTTTCCCAGCGTGACTGGAGGACACTTACAGCGTCTGGAGACTGAGGTGGACTTTTGTACTTACAGCAAGATTTCCTGACAAGATGCACTTGATGTAAGATTATCATGATGAGAGAGGGAGGGAGAGAGAGAGAGAGAGGGGGAGAGAGAGAGAGAGGGGGAGAGAGAGAGAGAGAGAGAGAGGGAGAGAGAGAGAGAGGGAGAGAGAGAGAGAGAGAGAGTGACAAGTGCCTAAGTGAATCAATAGACGTTTAAATAATGTACAATTAAAGGGACAACAGCGAGGACTAGAGGTGACCGTAGAGGACCTCACCTGCTGACACTCCCACAGGTAACACCTGGTCAGTGTCAGGGAAGGGGGGGGCTAAACCCACTTGGAAGTCTATATTGTGGTCGGGGACCGGGCCGCGGGGACGTTTGAGCCCCGAAATCATTACATTGCAAGGTAACCACTATAAGAAAATGACGAGGAAATGTGTGAGACGTCATCAAGAAGGACTTAGGAGATGATACTTGTACAAGGAACAAGGAAGCCGTTGAGAGCCGCCCCGCCCTCAGGCAGGGAAGTCGAGCTTCTCCTCGAGCTCCTCCTCGAGTCTTACTCGAGCTCCTCCTCGAGTCTTACTCGAGCTCCTACTCGAGTCTTACTCGAGCTCCTCCTCAAGCTCCTCGAGCTCCTCCTCGAGCTCCTACTCGAGCTCCTCCTCGAGCTGCTACTCGAGCTCCTCCTCGAGCTCCTCCTCGAGCTCCTACTCGAGCTCCTCCTCGAGCTGCTACTCGAGCTCCTCCTCGAGCTCCTCCTCGAGCTCCTACTCGAGCTCCTCCTCGAGCTCCTACTCGAGCTCCTCTTCGAGTAAGAGCTCCTCTATAGAGCAAACAAAACGAGGCAAAAGACACAAGAGGTATGAGTGTGAATGTTTATTTCCTAGAAGGCAATATAAGGCCTTTTGATGCACTCCCTCACGAGACTGTTATTGAAGTTACAGAATCAAGTTGCTTAATGACAATGAACTTTATTTTGACAACTGGGAAAACCTGGAAACCTCATTCTTAAGTGACATACAAAACTAAACTAAATTTGGACTCATTAGGTGTCAAAAGGTATTTAACCTTTAATTAATTACTTCAGGTGTTGTGATATGGCGTCGTGTAGCATAGCTGTGTCAGGGGTGTGTGTGGGGGGGGGGGTGTAGGGGTGTGTGGGGTGGTGGTGTAGGGGTGTGTAGGTGGGGGTGTAGGGGTGTGTGGGTGGGGGTGTAGGGGTGTGTAGGTGGGGGTGTAGGGGTGTGTGGGTGGGGGTGTAGGGGTGTGTAGGTAGGGGTGTGTCAGGGGTGTGTGGGTGGGGGTGTAGGGGTGTGTAGGTGGGGGTGTAGGGGTGTATCAGGGGTGTTGGGGGGGGGTGTCAGGGGTGTGTGGGGGGTGTAGGGTGTGTGTCAGGGGTGTGTATGGGGTGTGGGGGTGTAGGGGTGTGTGGGGGGGGGTGTCAGGGGTGTGTGGGGGGTGTAGGGTGTGTGTCAGGGGTGTGTAGGGGGTGTAGGGGTGTGTTATGGGTGTGTGGGGGGGTGTTGGGATGTGTCAGGGGTGTGTCAAGGGTGTGTGGGGGGTGTGGGGGTGTGTCAGGGTTGTGGGGGTGTGGGAGGGGGGTGTAGCATCCTCTTCACCCGGATGCTGTTCATCTCAGCCGTGTATCTGAGCTTGAGTCGTTATCCTCCCGCTATAAAGGTGCTTTTTATCGCTTCTATCTCTGCTTTTATGGTCTTGCTCTGGAGCTAAGAGGTACTCTGTCGGTATCTCTGTATCCCGCTGTAATAGGTATAGCGCCTGTGATGATGCGCATGCCTGTAATGGGAGGCCCTGTAATTGGCAGCGCTTCCTGAACCGATTATGTGCCTCTGTAAGCCTTTACACCACCGCCCACGGGATGGGTATGGGGTGCATAATAAAGAAATTGAATTGTAATTCCTACTGTAATTGGCGGTGAAATTATGAAAAACTAATTATTATCGCTTCATTAATACGGCCATTATCCAAATATATTTTATATTACACATTCAAGAATTGCCTTTTTTCATGATCTTAACTACAGCAATCGGCGAAAGGCCTCTCCCTTCAGTCGTTGTGTCTCACCTTCAAAATCGTCTTTATTTCTGGCGACGTCGGTCGTCGGAGCGAGGGAGCCGGTCGGCCGAGCGGACAGCACGCTGGACTTCTGATCCTGTGGTCCCGGGTTTAATCCCGGGCGCAATGGCCAGTAGTTTCTTTCACCCTATGCCCCTGTTACCTAGCAGTACAATAGGTACCTGGGAGCGAGTCAGCTGTCACGGGCCGCTTCCTGGGGGGCGGGAACACTAAAAAAAAAAAAAATCCCCGAAATCATCTCAAGATAACGTAAAGACTTAGATTTGTTTTCTCCTAATGTGCGTATTGGTGTTGGACCTGAGGCCTGTCATCCATTGGAGGCTTATTATGGCCTATCAACTTTAGATGGGTTATTAAGGCCAATCAGCCTTTGGAGGGTTATTAAGGCCATTCAGCCTTTGGAGGGTTATTAAGGCCATTCAGCCTTTGGAGGGTTATTAAGGCCATTCAGCCTTTGGAGGCTTATTAAGGCCTATCATCTTTAGATGTGTTATTAAGACCAATCAGCCTTTGGAGGCTTATTAAGGCCTATCATCTTTAGATGGGATATTAAGGCCAATCAACTTCAGAATGGCTTTTAAGACCAATCATACTCTTCAGGGTTAATAAGGCCTATGAACTTCTCGATTCTTAATAATGCCACCTCAGTAGTTCAGTGCCCAACCAGCAAGTATACTTTAGTCCTGTATAGTATACTTAATATACACACTGAGAAGCGAAGTATACACCTCTAAGTGTATTATTTTTAGTCCCCAGATTAAAAATAATATTTGCAATACTACTGAAGGCGGTGATAATATGATAATTTCGTTACTAATGTATTAACATTATTATTATTGTATTTTGTTGATAATAAAATAATGTTTAATAAAATAATGTTAATAATAATAATTTCTATTAATAATAATAATATTCAAATTGAAAAAAAATTGTAATAAGAAAATGTGTTGGGTAATGTGCCATTGTATTAGACGACCACACACACACACACACACACACACACACACACACACACACACACACACACACACACACACACACACACACACACACACACACACACACACACACACACACACACACACACACACACGCGCGCACACACACACACACACACACACACACACACACACACACACACACACACACACACACACACACACACACACACACACACACACACACACACACACACACACACACACACACACACAGCCCCAGCATGGAGTCCATATCTAGTCAAGGATAAGACTAAACTGGAAAAGATTCAAAGGTTTGCCACCAGAGTAGTACCCGAGCTGAGGGGTATGAGCTACTAGGAGAGGCTATGAGAATTAAACCTCACTTCGCTGGAAGACAGAAGAGCTAGGGGGGACATGATCACCATATTCAAGATTCTGAAGGGAATTGATAGGGTAGATAAAGACAGGCTATTTAACACAAGGGGCACACGCACTAGGGGACACAGGTGTAAACTGAGTGCCGAAATGAGCCATAAAGATATTAGAAAGAACTTTTTTTAGTGTCAGAGTGGTTGACAAATGGAATACATTAGGCAGTGATGTGGTGGAGGCTGATTCCATACACAGTTTCAAATGTAGATATGATAGAGCCCAATAGGCCCAGGAATCTGTACACCTGTTGATTGACAGTTGAGAGGCGGGACCAAAGAGCCAGAGCTCAACCCCCGCAAGCACAATTAGGGTAGTACACACTATCTCTTTGTGTCCCCCTGTTATATATATATATATATCAATATTATATAGTATAAAACGTTCAACACTTTAATTAACGCCCATTAGGCAATGTTGGCATTTAACAGCAGAGTTCACCTGTCACTCAATTGAGTCTCCCCCCCCCACTCACGCTGGCTAATGAGGCAGTTGATGTGTTGGTGAACAGGGCCATTGGTGGCGGGAGGATAGGAACACAGGGTGGAACACGTGGGAGGGTAGGAACCACCCACACCAGGATGGAACACGTGGGAGGGAGGATAGGAACACGGGGTGGAACACGTGGGAGGATAGGAACCACCCACACCAGGATGGAACACGTGGGAGGGAGGATAGGAACCACCCACACCAGGATGGAACACGTGGGAGGGTGGATAGGAACCACCCACACCAGGATTGAACACGTGGGAGAGAGGATAGGAACCACACACACCAGGATGGAACACGTGGGAGAGAGGATAGGAACCACACACACCAGGATGGAACACGTGGGAGAGAGGATAGGAACCACACACACCAGGATGGAACACGTGGGAGAGAGGATAGGAACCACACACACCAGGATGGAACACGTGGGAGAGAGGATAGGAACCACACACACCAGGATGGAACACGTGGGAGAGAGGATAGGAACCACACACACCAGGATGGAACACGTGGGAGAGAGGATAGGAACCACACACACCAGGATGGAACACGTGGGAGAGAGGATAGGAACCACACACACCAGGATGGAACACGTGGGAGGGAGGATAGGAACCACACACACCAGGATGGAACACGTGGGAGAGAGGATAGGAACCACACACACCAGGATGGAACACGTACCGTACAAGTCACGGGCTGGACATGGCACCGGATACCACAGTCAGCTGATACAGTCCACGCCATGTCTTCTCCAGAACACGATCTGCCAATCGCTTTACAACCATGTTCGCCTTTACTGGTGATGACGGAGGGGGGGGGCGAGGGGGTACGATATAGTGTGCTTGGTCGTCCCAGTCTGTCCAGGGTTCGATCCCAGGTCTTCTGATTGGCGAGGCTACGTTAATATTATTATTATTTAATAATTTGGAGTGAGGTGCTGCGCCCTCTGTGGTATTAAGCGTGTGAGTCTTCACAGGCGTACACAGTGTGTGTGTGTGTGTGTGTGTGTGTGTGTGTGTGTGTGTGTGTGTGTGTGTGTGTGTGTGTGTGTGTGTGTACTCACCTAATGGGGGTGGACCACGTGTGTGTGTGTGTGTGTGTGTGTGTGTGTGTGTGTGTGTGTGTGTGTGTGTGTGTGTGTGTGTGTGTTTGTTTGTTTGTCTATGTGTGTGATCAAACTTTTTTTTAAGATTTGAAGACATCTTAAATCTATTTTAATTCTCTGGCATTTAAATGCGGCGACATTTTTAATTCTGTTAATATCTTTATTTCTATACTCTAAAACTAAAATTATCAAAACTCGAATTCCTATTTATTTGGATAACCTTTGTCTAATTCTAAATATTGTGTATATTCTATGATTCTATATAAATATTATATTCGCTATGTCTAATGTTAAGTAATTATATTTTTTAGGAAAGTTGCATTTTTGAACACTTATTTATTCCGGTGAAGTGTTCAAAGTACATATTATTGATACCGTGATAAATTGTCCCTCACATGTGGCTCTCATTTGGACCCCTGAAGTGTGTAGTATATATGTGTATATGTGGCCTTAACGCTAGCAGTGTGTTGCTAAAGTTTCTCCCCTTGACCTCGGCAGCGACCCTACGGTTCAAGCCCTTCAGTTCCTGGACGTCATCAACATGAAGGACCCGTCCCAGAAGACTCACTTCTACCGCACCACCCTTATGGAGGTCCTCCCTCACATCCCTAAGGTCAGCATCCCTCATTATCTCTCTCTCTCTCTCTCTCTCTCTCTCTCTCTCTCTCTCTCTCTCTCTCTCTCTCTCTCTCTCTCTCTCTCTCTCTCTCTCTCTCTCTCTCTCTCTCTCTCTCTCTCTCTCTCTCTCTCTCTCTCTCTCTATCTCTCTCTCTCTCTCTCTCTCTCTCTCTCTCTCTCTCTCTCTCTCTCTCTCTCTCTCTCTCTCTCTCTCTCTCTCTCTCTCTCTCTCTCTCTATCTCTATCTCTATCTCTATCTCTCTATCTCTCTCTCTCTCTCTCTCTCTCTCTCTCTCTCTCTCTCTCTCTCTCTCTCTCTCTCTCTCTCTCTCTCTCTCTCTCTCTCTCTCTCTCTCTCTCTCATATTTTCAGGTCAGCTGTAAGGAGACATACATCTGTCCAAGGTAAGCCATTGGGCATGCTTTACTTATCTACCATCATATTTGTCGTATTTGACTACTAATATTATTGTAAGATGTGCTGCAGTCTTCTAAGGCTTGTTGCTACATGAAACCCTCTGTGTGGCCAAAGGATAGGAGACAGACTAAGTGTGTACTTTAATCTCTTATGTATGAGTTGCGTGGTCCTGCTAGAGAAAGAACGCCTGTTAATTACTGTGTGTTGTATTTTGTATTTGTATTATTATTATTATTATTCTGTTGATATGGAACCGATGACCTTTTAATTCTGGTGTCAGAAATTCATTCGTTGTGATATTCACTCGTTCATTAATTCGTTCGTTCAGCATTAACAAGTCAGCTTCACCTTCTTAACCTTTAGAGTGCTGAGGACGGCTTTTGTCGCCATACGTGGCATTACTCTCCTTCACTGCATACATCGACACTTGGTCGCACTCTGACGTATCGACAACATATCCCCTGACCTGCCAAATGCAAGTTAAACGTTCGAGTAGATATGTTATCATCTAACCTAGCCTAACCTAACCAACAACATTGTTTTGCCTGTTCTTCAACCCTCCAGCCACTTGCACTCGCCGATACAGAGGAGGGCCTCGCTTTTTGCTGGTCGGCGTTCGATCCCCGACGGTCCAAGTGCTTGGGCACCATTCCGTCCCTCCATCCTATCCCAGCTCATTGTCCTCCCATCCCTTCAAATGATATATGGCCTTGGTGTTGTTTCCTGATAATTATCTTAGTTTATATATATATATATATATATATATATATATATATATATATATATATATATATATATACATATATATATATATATATATATATATATATATATATATATATATATATATGTGTATATAATATGACAGTGTCAGACCTCGAAGGAGGATTAAGACAGCCTGACAGCTGAGTGGACAGCGCTCGGGATTCGTAGTCATGAAGTTCTGGGTTAGATCCCCGGCGGAGGCGGAAACAAATGGACAGAGTTTCTTTCACCCTGATGCCCCTGTTACCTAGCAGTAACTAGGTACCTGGGAGTTAGACAGCTGCTATGGGCTGCTTCCTGGGTGTGTGTGGGTGAGAAAAAAAATAGCAGTAACAGTTGATTGACTGTTGAGAGGCGGGCCGAAAGAGCAAAGATCAACCCCCGCAAGCACAACTAGGTGAACACACACACACACACACACACACACACACACACACACACACAGGTTGACAAATGGAATGCATTAGGCAGTGATGTGGTGGAGGCTGACTCCATACACAGTTTTAAATGTAGATATGATAGAGCCCAGTAGGCTCAGGAATCTGTACACCAGTTGATTGACAGTTGAGAGGCGGGACCAAAAAGCCAAAGCTCAACCCCCAGCAAGCACCAATAGGTGAGTACACACCTCATAACAACACCTCAACAAGCGAACTGATTGGCGAAGAAGGCAATATCTCCGGCTAATCACAAGCTTCGTTACATAGCATTATGACTGCCTTGACCAATCACCAGCCTTGTTACCTAAATTATACTCCCGCCATGCTGATGTTTGAGAGAGGGAGAGAGAGAGAACTGCAATTGCTGCTCTATTGTCACTATTATTTAGTCATGATAATGCTACATTAGCTAGCCACAACTTATATTTATTTAAGCCATTACAATTTTTTTTTTACCATTAACAAACAACGTGTCAAAGTGGCCTGGTCGAGGACCGGGCCGCGGGGACGCTGAGCCTCGGAATCATCTCAAGATAACCCCCTCAAGATAACCAAGATCCTCTGCCTGGAATTACACCTCCTTTTTTATTTTGAATTTTAAGTGGAAGTTTATCTTGAATGAAATCTAGTTTTGCCTGGTATTATCTATATTTATAAGAGCGAGTATCTGTTTGTGTGTGTCTGTCTGTCCACTGTTGGAGGCCAGGGGGGGGAGAAAGACTGTCTTGGCTCCTCCCCCGGAACCCCCCCCCCCTCCTAGTACACCTGGAACAAGTCCTGGAACAAGCCCTGGAACAAGCCCTGGAACAAGACTTGGAACAGGCCCTGGAACAAGACCTGGAACAAGACCTGCAACAAGCCCTGGAACAAGACCTGGAACATGACCTGGAACAAGACCTGCAACAAGCCCTGGAACAAGACCTGGAACAAGACCTGGAACAAGACCTGGAACAAGACCTGCAACAAGCCCTGGAACAAGCCCTGGAACAAGACCTGGAACAAGACCTGCAACAAGCCCTTGCTGGAAATCTCCGAAGGAATATCTCCTGTGAAATGACTTCAGTAAATGGAAGGTCTGGTTCTGGAAGGATTAGAAAAGATAGCTTTGGTATATCTCTCTAATTGCCAGGTCGCATCTCGGCCTCCAGGTCGTATCTCGGCCTCCAGGTCGTATCTCGGCCTCCAGGTCGTATCTCGGCCTCCAGGTCGTATCTCGGCCTCCAGGTCGTATCTCGGCCTACAGGTCGTATCTCGGCCTCCAGGTCGTATCTCGGCCTCCAGGTCGTATCTCGGCCTCCAGGTCGTATCTCGGCCTACAGGTCGTATCTCGGCCTCCAGGTCGTATCTGTTTTCAAGAATATTCCAGAACCATGGATTACAATCCTCGAAACTCAGGTTATGGAATAATCTTCTATAATCCTGCCCCAGAATCTTCTAGAACAGTTTTCTAGATTCATGCGAATTCATTTGCTGGAATAGGAGACTCTCTAAAGGACCCGTTCTTGAAATCACCGAGAACCCCATTCGTTGAATCTTCTGGAATCCGGATTCGGATCCATCAATCCTCAAATCCGGTCGACGGTGCGATCTTTATCCTCGCTCTGAATTGTCGAGATTGGAGGAATATCTCTCATCCTCTTTCTCTAAGCTCTCTATGTCCCTCACTCCCTCTCTGTCTCTCTCTCTCTCTCTCTCACTCTCTCTCTCTCTCTCTCTCTCTCTCTCTCTCTCTCTCTCTCTCTCTCTCTCTCTCTCTCTCTCTCTCTCTCTCTCTCTCTCTCTCTCTCTCTCTCTCTCTCTCTCTGTGCCTCTTCCTGCTCCTTATCTGTTGTTGTTGTTAAAGATTCGCTACTTGGAACAAAAAGTTCCAAGTAGCACGGGCTATGGTGAGCCCGCAGCCTTGCTCCTTATCTCTGTAGCTCCCTCCCTCCCTCCGTGCCTCCTATCCCTCACTACCCAACCGCTACCAACTGGACAAATCTCACCGCCACCCGCCGCCACATCAACCCGCCAATATCAATACGGGCAGCAGGCAGCAACAGTTGCGTGGATCATCACTCACGCTGCCATGGTGGTAATCCAGCCCGGCTTGCCTTTTGTGTCGGCACATTTGCATGCATGATGGAGGTGATGGGGCCGTGTGTGTGTGTGTGTGTGTGTGTGTGTGTGTGTGTGTGTGTGTGTGTGTGTGTGTGTGTGTGTGTGAGAGAGAGAGAGAGAGAGAGAGAGAGAGAGAGAGAGAGAGTGAGAGAGACTCAGTCTCTCTCACTTCCCCTTCTCTCCCTCACACCTCTCCTTCCTCGTCTCTCCCCTCACTACGAGCCAAAAATAGCCTCTCCCTCATTACGGGAGAAACAAATTTTAACTCTTCGTTGCCTGGTTACTATACCGGGGCCCCGGGGGTCACCTGGGGAGAGTAGGTGGATATATATCCACCACTAGGGAGTGGATATATATATATATATATATATATATATATATATATATATATATATATATATATATATATATATATATATATATATATATATATATATATATATATATATATCCACTATATAAGAGATATAAGGCAAGGAGATCGTGCCTATTCCTTTACCGAACATTCAACAACTATTTTGCATACTCAAGTGTAAGAAATTAGCATCAAGAACAATACGTGCTCAGCTCTCCGCGGCGTCTAGACAGATACCACTTCTCACTGCCCGCCAGTACCCGTGACCCCCGACCCACCTACGTCTGGAGGCCCAGCTACACTCGCCAGCTAAACTGTTCGTTTGAGACTGCCGGCTGACAATTACCTGCACACCAGCGCCACCTACAACTGGGCTTGGCCGTGTATAAAAGTAGTTCACCACTAGCCAGACGAGACCCGCACCGCTCCTGTGCCAGGTAAGTCTACTGCGGGCTCACCATAGCCCGTGCTACTTGCCCCGCTCCTGTGCCAGGTAAGTTACGGGCTCACCATAGCCCGTGCTACTTGCCCCGCTCCTGTGCCAGGTAAGTTACGGGCTCACCATAGCCCGTGCTACTTGGAACTTGTTCCGAGTAGCTGAATCTATAACACCAACAAGAGCCAGACGGCAGAATACTCTTCAGTGCTCTAAGCTGCACATCTACTCTCGCTCTCCTGGGTGTCCGGTAGACTCGCGCAGCTCATGTATATAGTACTGTATTTGCACCTTTAATTTTGCTATTAACGTAACAGTCACTTGTTTGTTTCTCTCGCATGTTTGTGTTGTGTAATGCCAAGTCTTATTGGGGATTTGTTTTAATTGTTCAAGTAATTTTTTGCTATATTAAATATTTGAGTTTTTCCGTGTACTGGACTTTATCCCGCAATTTTCACACCGTAAAGAGATTTAGCAGCAAAACCAGTTTTATTTACTTTGTTTTACTCTTTTTTACTTAAAGTTATTGGCGTTCCACCGGCTAGAATAGAATATATATATATATATATATATATATATATATATATATATATATATATATATATATATATATAATAAAGTTAGTGTTTTAATAGATTCTAATGTAATATTTTTTATATTTTAGATTTCGGACGTGGAATTAACATGAAAATTAATTAAAATTCTCGTCCAGCACAAATTTAGGTCCGACCCGGGCCAGGGGGAGGTAATATATTGTGCTGGGTGGTGCTGGGTGGTGCTGGGTGGTGCTGGGTGGTGCTGGGTGGTGCTGGGTGGTGCTGGGTAGTGTGGTGATGGGTAGTGTGGTGCTGGGTAGTGTGGTGATGGGTAGTGCTGGGTGGTGCTGGGTGGTGCTGGGTAGTGTGGTGATGGGTAGTGTGGTGCTGGGTAGTGTGGTGATGGGTAGTGCTGGGTGGTGCTGGGTGGTGCTGGGTAGTGTGGTGATGGGTAGTGTGGTGCTGGGTAGTGTGGTGATGGGTAGTGCTGGGTAGTGTGGTGATGGGTGGTGATGGGTAGTGTGGTGATGGGTGGTGATGGGTAGTGTGGTGATGGGTGGTGCTGGGTAGTGTGGTGATGGGTAGTGTGGTGCTGGGTGGTGATGGGTAGTGTGGTGCTGGGTGGTGTGGTGCTGGGTAGTGTGGTTTGGTGATTAGTGAATCACTTGTCCTCCGTTCATTTCCCGTTTTCTGTTTTGGGTTCTCTGGCTTAGGCTGTTGGGTTTGGAGCGGAAACTTTCAATTAACGCTTTTATGACGTTTGGAAACCTTAGGAGAACTTGCTGCAAACGATCAGACGAAGCAGTTACGCAAGCACGTACGAACCTGTACATCTTTTCTCAATCTTTGGCGGCTTTGTTTACCATCATTAAACAGTTAATGAGCTCCGAAGCACCAGGAGGCGGTTTATAACAATAACAACAGTTGATTTGGCAAGTTTTCATGCTTGTAAACTGTTTAATAAATGTAACCAAAGCCGCCAAAATTGAGGAAAGATGTACACGTTCGTAAGTGCTTGCGTAACTGCTTCATGAATCGTGCTCCAAGGCATCATTACCCAATATTATCCTATCCTATCTATTTAGTGCCCCAAGAGTGGTTGTATTCACTCTACACTCTACGCCCACTCGACCCGAGGCTCTCAGAGTGCACTTGGAATAGGAGATGGAATAGACCCAATTCAACACAAGCTCTTTTAATAGTTCAATTTCTTAATAATAGATCTTTCTTAATACGATAAAGTGATGCCGTGGAACTTCGCATTTCATTTCGCATTTACACGAGTAAATATAGCAATGATTTCTGAACCAATCTGTGTTCCACCTCCGCTGAACACTGAACAAAGCTACAGTTCACTCGAGAAATGATATGTAAGTTCATTCCAATGACCTCTTCGCTATTATATATAATAAAATAATTTAACTATATCATTGTATAACAGAATAAAAGAGAAGAAAAAGGGAGGGGGGGGGGGGTGAAGATAATACTCAAGTGTCTAGGGAAGAACCCACAAGATCTTCTCTGAATACCCTATTTATGCTCTGTTCACCCCCGGGAACCGCCGGGTAACTCCTCCTGGTATATTCTAAATATAAAGCAAAAGAGATTTTGTTGGTGTCGTTAATTCTGCAGAATTAACAGACACACACATAGAAGCGCCTGAGTCAAACTGACTTCAACACGTCAGTTGATTGACAGTTGAGAGGCGGGACCAAAGAGCCAGAGCTCAACCCCCGCAAGCACAACTAGGTGAGTACGAGGAGGGTGGAGATAGCCTAATCTGTTCCATCCCTTTGAGATGTTTGAGATGAATTTTATTGTCTCAGTAAACGTATTTGATCTTGAACTTGAGCACAACTCATTAGGCACAAGTTAGGTCATTAGTGAGAGCAGTTAAGGTTAGGTTAACGATGTGCGAAGCTGTGAAAATAAGTGGTGTGTGTTGGGGCCTGACAGCTGAGTGGACAGTGTTCGGGACTCGTAGTCCTGAGGTTCTGGGTTCGATCCCCGGCGGGGGCGGAAACAAATGGTGCAGGGTTTCTTTCACCCTGATGCCCCCCCTGTTCACCTATCAGTAAATAGGTACCTGGGAGTTAGACAGCTGCTACGGGCTGCTTCCTGGGGGTGTGTAACAAAATGGAGATCTGGTCGAGGACCGGGCCGCGGGGACGTTAAGCCCCGAAATCAGATAACCGTTCGCTGGATAGATGAGTCCCTTCTTATAAAGAACATTACCATTATTATTAAGAACATTATTATTAAGAACTTTATTATTAAGAACATTATTATTAAGAACTTTATTATTAAGAACATTATATATAATGTTCTTATAAGAACATAAAGAAATATTTTATGGTCAGGTTTACGCAGCAACTCGTCCTCTTACACATTACGTCGCTTTCCGCTCGTATGCGCACTCAGACTAAAAAAAAAATCGACGTAATTCAAAATGAAATCGGCTCACGAAAATGACGTGTTGTCCCGGTTTTCTGTTTTAGGTCCTCTGGCGTAGGCTGTAAGGTTAGGAGACAAAACTTTCAATTAACATTTTACGTGACGTTTTGTAACTTTAAAAGATTTTTTTTTATTAATACATGAGGTACATCTGCATTAGTGCAGCTACCCTAGACTATATGAAGTGGAGTACAGTGTGTCAAAAAAGCTAACTAGGTGATGCTAAAAAATCCCCATCACACAGGATGGTTAGTCATACAGAGGCATGTGATAAGCGGTCTGCACTGGCAGACTCCGGATGCATTTTGAGGATATCAACAACACAAGATTGAATAAGGTAGCAGTGGTAATACAAGTCCCCATCTCGCAGGATGGTTAGTCATACAGGGCCATGTGTTTAGTAGCCTGCACTGGGTATACTGGGTATTTGCCTCACTGACAAATTTTGGGTATACTGTGAGGATATCTTCAAGAATACGAGAGTGAATAAAGTAATTGCAAAGCTTCAGGTACCTCATGCCAACTGGTCTGAAAGGTCTAATAACTGGGCATTCAGTGATGTAGTGCGGGAGATCATGCCGTAGTTCCTGCTCACAGAGTTTGCAACTGGAGTGCTCAGGATTGGGAGACCCGTCACCTGCAGCCACCTGCTACAGGTAACGGTAACCCAACCTGATCCTTGCAACCACTGTGTCGCACAGTCTAGTGGACGTTTTGTGCTGTCCATAGATGTAGCTTTCAGATCTGAACAAATCATAGCTTTTTATACTAGTACTTTCAGGTCGTTGGGAATCAGTAAGTTCTTTCCTATCAGATCTGAATGTTTGGACCAATACAGTTTTGACAGCACAGATGGGGATACCTAGATCTAATTCAACTTCATCTTTGTTACACGCAAATTTGGCTGCAATGTCTGTCTCATTATGATGGGTTATATTTATGTGTGAAGGTATCCATACAAAGGAGATTCGAGGCCCTTTACTCTGTGCATCAATTAGGTCATTTATAATTGGGAGTATGAGGTTCTTGCTGTCGATCTTCCAAGAGAAGTTTTCGATTGCTTGAAGAGCAGACTTTGAATCACAGAATATTATTCCTCCTCCAATGTTTTTTATAACAAGAACTTGTTGGAACGAGTCAGAAATCTACGGTAGTAAAACATAACTTTCAGGGCAGGCCTATAGCCTAGCCTGGAGCTCATCTGTGGAAACTCAGGGAGGCCTAGTGGGTGGAGCTAATCAGGGCACTGATTGGCTCGAATCCAGAGCCGGACATTTGAAATCATTGTCTGTAGACTTGGAGAGCTGTCAATGGCTATAGGGGAAACAGGAGAGAGGGAAACGTTTGGAGGAGGAGGATTGGAAAAGAGGATTGGTGAAGAAGATTGGGGAATAGGATTGGCCGGCGACGGTCTCACTTACCTGAGACTCCAGTTTTATGGCTGGAAAGGGGCGGCGCGATAAAAGGGGAAGGAAAGGAAGGGAAAGATAGGAAGGATAGGAAAGATAGGAAAGAAAGAAAAGAAGGGCAACGGGGGAGGGGGGAGAATGAACAAGGAAGGGGAAGACGAATGAGGGGAAAGAGGAGAAAGGTAAAGGGGAGAAAGGGGAGAAAGGGAAGAAGCTAGGTCTATACACAGACCATTAAACTTCACATCCATATAAACTGACAAACTAATAAATATTTGTACTTTCGAATAACTGTGAGGATGACGAAATTCTCCTTTTAGAATGACATATGTTATTTACAGCTGTAAATGTGCACAGATTTACAGTGTGACGGTAACGCGTTGGTGTTCGGCTGTTTAAGGCTAGGGGTATGGCCTCGTCACATAGTTATAAAAAAAAAGAAAAAACTGGAACTTCGTCTGTGGTAAGGTAAGGAGAAGACACACAAAACACAAGTAAATTTTAACAATGAAATTTTAATTACGTTAAATAAATCAAAACATAAATAAAAGGGACAAACAAATTTGTATAATAAAATCAATCAATCAAAATAATAAGAATAATTAAATGACACAATGAAAAGTTACGTTAAGACAAAATAACAAGAAGTGCAATACAAAAATAAAGGTAAGGTGCTGGAATATTGGCTTTAAGCTACCACCTCTCTCAGTACACGCTTACGTCTAGCCGGGAGAAGTGTTAACTGTGGAAGCACTGAATATTCTGAGGTCTGAGGTCGTGGCGACCCCAGACATCAAGTAGTATGGGGGGGGCGAGTGCAGTTGCAGCCAGACCGGCGACCAATCAGCGGAGCCGGTAGTAAGACAGGTAGTTTGGCGGTTTGAGTCTGAACAGGTGTCCCTGGCTGCATACGTTTTGCGCTCTGGCAAACCTTGCTGGTGTTGTTGTCGTTGTTGGACATTTCTTCCATAGTAGTTATATATATTTGTTGCGACGTATTTGTGGAGGGAAGAGCAGGCTCAATCTCTTGAAGGAGATTCTCGTCACAACTCTCCCCCGAAGCCTGCGGTTCTGGAAGAAGTATGTCGTTATGTGGTGGAGTAATGGATGGAGTTGCTTCTACTTCATAAACTCTGGAGAGATCATGGGCTAAGATGTTGTCAGACTCTTGGTATAGCGTGTCTCCAGGTTGAATTTCTGCAGGTAGCAAGCCCATAGTAGAAGACGTTGAGAGGAGAAGTGGGCGTGCTGCAGGAGATGTAGGGTGGAGTGGTCCGTGTTGATGGTAG